TCTGGGAGTTGAAGTCCACGCATCTTCAAGTTGCCAAGGTTGAGAAACACTGATCTGGCATGTCTGCAGTATAATCCACATCAGTGCAGCAAAGAGGACACATGCAGTTCTGTAGTCATAAACTATGGCCAGAAATAGGGCACCAGCAACTGTCACAGCGTATTTCCCAGATAGCAAGTAGAGAAACAGAGTTGATTCAACAGATGGTTGGTTGAGAATCACCAGAACCAGCAGCCTGAACTGGGGCGGGGGGAAAATCCCCAAGAAACAGAATAAAATCATGGAGTTGGAGAATCTTGGAGTTTCAGGACTAGGTTGACTAGAATTCAGGTCCTCCTCTAGATTCTAGAGGAAGTCAAAAATCAGAATTATCTGGGCGCCTTTGGGCTGAGTGTCTAAGTCAATGTTTCTCAGCCTCAGCAACTTTCAGATGTGTGGGCTTCAACCAGAATTCCCCAGCCAGCCATGCTTCTGGGAGATGAAGTCCACACATCTTAAAGTTGCTGAGGCTGAGAAACACTGGTCTAAGTCCAAGTTGGCTTGGATGTCTGGATGCTCACCAAACCCAAAGCTGAAAAAGCACTTTTGGGCAGATGCAGAACCTGGGACAGAAGGCAGCATTCGGATTAACTGGCCCCTACTTCTCTCAATACACACACACACACACTTCCTACTCTTCACAGTCCAACCACAGCTATAGTGCGTGCAAGCAATGCCCATGAAAAAGTTGGGAGTTCGTGCACGCCTGTTTGTGTTAAAGAAAATGAGCATAGCAGAAATTTGTGAATTTTCTTCAGGGTCTAGCAGCCTCCCCGCTCTTCAATAACGAGAATCGTTATTTATATAAGTTGCTCCAAAAACACTTGTTTATGCAAAACCTGTTTCAGAGTGTGTTTGTCTGTGTGTTTGCAGTGCATATAAACCTGCACGCTTCTTGACTCTAAAATCCATGGTGACACAAACTAGGGGTTGGTTCTTTGGTGCAAAGCCACCCACCCCTTCTCAGTCAATGAAGGACCGTCTCATTGCTGTCACATCAACCCGTCCCACCCGGTCATGCAAAGAGGGCACGCTGCGGACCCCGCCTGCAAGAGAATTTCATCTGGCGGGGTCCAGGAGGCGAGCCTCCTCTGCAGCAGCCCCTGCCCTGTGGAAGAGAGGTTGGCCCCCTCCCTGTCAGACTTCAGAAAAAAAATGAAGACCTGGTTCTGCCATCACGCATGGGGCAGGGATGGGAATGGTCAGTCTTGGGGTCGGCTGGTTCCCTGGCCTTACCTTTGACCGATATTATCTGGTCACAGGCTGAAATAATCCCACCATCTCTTGGATTTTATTGTATTTAATAACTGTATTTTATATTTGTATTATTTATGTTTTTACTGATTTTAAATTGTTTGGTTGTGAACTGCCCAGAGTCCCTCTTGTGAACTGCCCAGAGTCCCTCTTGTGAACTGCCCAGAGTCCCTCTTGTGAACTGCCCAGAGTCCCTCTTGTGAACTGCCCAGAGTCCCTCTTGTGAACTGCCCAGAGTCCCTCATATTATCTGGTCACAGGCTGAAATAATCCCACCATCTCTTGGATTTTATTGTATTTAATAACTGTATTTTATATTTGTATTATTTATGTTTTTACTGATTTTAAATTGTTTGGTTGTGAACTGCCCAGAGTCCCTCCTTGTGGGGGAGTTGGGCTGTGATATAAATCTGACATATAAATGAATAAAAAAAGTGCTGTTTCTGACGTCTGCTGCTGATCTGACCAAGGGTCATTAGCCCGAGAGAATCTGAAACAACATTGCTTTGCAAAAAATAAAACACTGCACGCCTCTCTTGGGGACCCCAAGGCCCCAGAACAATTGGGTTCCACCCTACCCCATCATCCACTGCCCCCACCCCATCATCCTTGCCTTCCCTTACCACACTGTGTCCTTCCGAGGGCAGAAGAGTGATCACGCCCACCTTCACCCCCTCCTCCCCAGCCAGCTTCAGCAGCTGCACCACTTCTGCGTGTTTGGACCACCTGCAGTCTTGGCCATCGATAGAGACAATGTAGTCCCCTTCTTTCAGACCAGCTTCCTGTAAAAGTAGAAATCGGTACATTTGCTGAAGCTTCTCCAAAAAGGGGGGGGGGGGGGAGACACTGGGGACGTTAGCCAGGAAATAGTGATGCAAGATGAACACACCACAGGAGGGGTATGGAAAAAAAGGTAGAGTTGGAAACAGATCACTGAATTAGTTATATGAAAACAAACTTTTCCTGTTGTTTGCTATCTGGCAGCCGGTCTTCCGGAGGTACAGCATCTCCGGTCATGGAGATTGGTTTACCTCTGATGGTACACGGCTGCTGATAGACTGTCCTTCTCTGCCATTAATTTTGCATACTCTCCCTTTGAAGCTGTCCATGGTGGCCGAGGTCACCCCCTTCTTTGTGACTTGTGTGATCAAGTACTTGTTTGTGTGTCCAGTGACTCAGGTTCCATGTATCTGTTCTCCCATGCCCAAAAGTTCTTAGAGAAGCACAGAACTACCAGTTTTGTAGATAGTTGCAGCAGCTCTTATTGGCCTGAAAACCAACCTAACTGGGCACCCAGCTGACTATCGGATCAACTTTACTGAATGTTCTTGAGCTTCTACTGAATAGGCAGGTTTCTCCCAGCTCCCTGCCCCAAGACTGCCCTCCCAACACGCCTTGGGAACTCCTGTAAATTTTCCAAAGGAACCTGGTTCCCACCTTTACCATAACAGGGCTGGCAACTCACCGCCGCACACCCACCAGCGATGATCCCAGCGACCAGGACCGGAGAATCACCTCGGAGGGTGAACCCAAAGCCGTTTGCTCCACGGACCAAGTGTATCATCCGTGGGGGGTGCCATTTATTCTTGGCAGAGAAAACTGAAAGTGGTCCCTGGGGAAAAAAACAACAACAGATGATGGCTACTCCTACCTAAGTGGGCAGCAAGTTCTGAAGGTTAGTTACAATCTGTGCAGGAGGAAGCAGCGAAGCAAAAGATGATTCTTCTTTTGAGGTGTTATCAAAACTTTACATGCTTTGGTCAGGGGACAGAAGGTGGTATGGCCTAGAAAAAATTATTCCACTTGGCAAAGTTGAGAAAAGTAGAACGGAAAGATAACATATATGAATGGACAGGATCACTGGAAAATCCTTGGAAGAGCTGCAGATTACCCTTGGCAAAGTTGAGGGAAGCATGGACAGCATCAAAGATACTATGGAACTGTCCTTGGAACAGCTATTAATCATGGCTGGAGAGAAGTTGGATGGTGAATGTTTGTTCATGTAATCTCCAGGAGTTAGAATTGACTTGATGGCAACTAAGTATAGGAGGAAACTCCCATTTTACTCCAACCATAATCTTGTGCCCATCAACTTTCCTGGGTGATCCTGAATTCTTGCCTTATGGAAGTAGGAGAATCATGCAGGGGAGTGCATGAGTGTACACTGGAAACCACAATGTGCAGGACTATTTCAGGTCTGGTTCTATGAGGGCAGGATCTTTGCTGTCTGCACAAGGACAGTCCCCTCACAGGATGTATCAAACTTACCAGGCTATGAAAGATGTCTGTAACTTTCACCTTGGAGAAGTTGGGAGACTTGATTTCGGGTCTCTGATGTGTTTTGGCTAAAAGGATGTAAGAAGAAGGAAAATGTTGTCACTTTGGAACCTGGCTTCTTCCATTCTGGAAGATGGATCCAAGACAGAAAAATGTGTGTGTTTTCCATGTTTCCAAATACCTACAGAATTTGACCCTGGGCAAGTTCTTAGCTCTTCAGCCTAGAGAGGAACATTTGAAAAAGAGCTGGAATGATGCTTAGAATTTCGGAAGCCATGAAGGGAGAGTTTAACACAATCCCAGTGAGCAAAATCAGATTCAATCCTCTGATCCTTCATGAAACACCAAAGCAACATGCCTCTGGAGGTCATCTGCTAGGTTGAACCCGAGCATGCCAGAACCGCTATTGTTTTGTCTGCTCCAGTGGTTACTCTGGAGAGGGCACCACCCTCCATGACAGAGTAGGTCTGTGACTTGTGAGTCCTCTTGGACTCACGGCTACCATTGAAAGGGCAGGTGGAAGCTGTGGCCAGGGGAACATCAACCTGCCAGCCCATCTGGACACAGTTATTCATGCCCTTGTCACCACCAGGGCAGACTACTGCAACATATGGCAAGTGGCACTACCCTTGAAGACTGATCAGAAACTGCAAAATGTGGCTACCTGCATGCCAACAGGCAACAGCTGTTACAACCACGTAGCACCTATGTTGTGGGTGTTGCATTACACGAGATTTCTGGGCACAATTCCAAGTGTTAATTTAACCCTTAACGCCCTACATGGCTTGGCTCTTAGATATTTGCAAGACTGCCTTCTCCTGGTATCACTGTCCTGTCCAGGATGCTCATCCTGGGTGGGGATGTTGAGTGTTCTCCAGATTTTTGAGGTGAGACTGGTTGGGGCTCAAAGGCAGAGCTTGTCTGTGGTGCCCCCTCCCCTCTGCCAAAGAGCTTTCCCCAAGAAGTTAGACTGGCACCAACCTTGGCATCTCTTTGGAAAGCTATTCATGTTAATTCACCCACGTTAGGGCTGGGCACCTGTGGTTACTGTATTATATTACTGATGTTTTTATTTTAAGTACTTAGTGGGTTGGTTTTATTGTCTGGTTTTAATTGCTTGGTGGTTTTTTTTTAATGCTTTTCTTCTTTGTAAACTGCCCTGAATCATAAGATCCAGTCATCTGTGAATAGAATGCAGGTATCCCCAGGTTAAGAATGACCAGTTTACAGACAACTCATAGTTAAGAATGGAGTCTATTATAGCAAAATTTGAGTTAAATGCAGTACACAATGATTTGAGTTAAATACAGAATGGTTCAAGTTAATTACACAATATTACTTATACAGTATTATACAATACTGCTGTTCTGGCTCTCATACAAATTTGACTTAAGAACAGACCTTGGGAATGGAACTTGTTCTTCAGCTGGGGCTACCTGTAACTAACTCAGTCCTCAGCAGAATTAACCTTACAGAGCAGGACTTCCACTTGTTGCTGTGAACTGCAACGTCAGTGAGAGCTGTAATTCTCAACCTGGATCTACACGCTCATCCTTGTAACCAAGATATCTTCTAGACAGGACAAAAGCACCTCAAGACGCCCTTGAGCTGAGCCCAAATCCTAGTGACCACAGAGATACACCCACACATTTTTATTTTTTATTTTTGCCACAGAACAGAAATGTTTTCATATTGTCTTCTTTGGGGGAGGGGGGTTCTCAATGTCCTTGTCTAGCTGATAGCTCCAACCAGGCCAGATCTAGACAAGGTTGGCAAGTGCTGCCACCTGACCAATCACGACCTGCTGAGAGACAAGGCCCAATCCATCAACTTGCTCACTTACGATGGATGTCAGGAGCCTCCGCTGTTTCAAAGAAATCTTCCTCATGGTCAATTTCAGAGTATTTGCTGAGGGAACGTTTGTGGGCAAATGAGAGGACCTCCTGCAGGATGTCCATCTTCCTCAAGATCTTGCACAAGCCATGGATCCTCATGGCTTCCTCATGCTCGATTATGGCTTTTTTGAGGTGAGCTTTCCCTGTAAAAACACATGACCACATTGGAGAACCAGAAACTACTACAGCTGACGGCCACTTTTCTGGAAGGACCTGGCTGATCCTTCTTATGTACCTCACCTTTTCTGGAAGGCCCTGGCTTATCCTTATACACTTTCTTGGGCACCTGAGCACACAAGAAACTTCAAACCTGCCCCATCCATCAGTGCAATTCAGAAATTGCCTTAACAAAATTATCCTCTAAATTCTGACAGCGGGCTAAAAACTATTCTTACCATAAACTTAAACATGACCATGTGAGTGGACAGAACTAGCTTCATTAAAGGGGGAAGTAGTTCTATAAGAAGTAGTTCTGCAATTCACTCAAACAAAAAAAGGTGACCCTCACGGGAACAAGTCTATCATGTTCTGCCCAGGAGTGGGTGTGAATGTTGGCACTTCCAAAATCCATTACAAATTAATGTCACAATGCTGTACAAAGGTCTGGTTGGTTGGTTGGGAGGCAGAGATCTAAAATGATGGTTTCCCCTTGGATGCATTACTCAATCATCATTTTGTCAACCCATTGCAAGGGTGTCCATAGGATATGGTTAAAAAAAAAAAAAGCAGCCATGACAGTGTGATGAAAGCTCCACCTGTTTTTTAGGTGCATCACTTCGATCTCACTGATCATGGTCATCATCTTGACTTTTTTGACTATACCCTACAGAGACTCCTGCAACCCCTTTTGGGGATGCTTCACAACTGACATGTCTGGATTCAGGATCTCCTTTGAGAGCCTAGCTGCTTTTGAACCATAGTTTGGGTCCCCAGAGATGCTCAGAAACTGCTTCTTGCAAAGACATCTGCTCACCTCCTATTCATGCCCCCTCTTTTAATTCTGCAAATTGTGGAGGACAAAGGTCCTCTATCTGGAGCACAAAACCATACTTGGCATCAAGAGTTATGGAAGGATTCGCCTCCATGCCCAACAAAGAAGGCCAAAAATTGGTATACATTTTCACAGAGTGACCAGTGATATGGTGAGGGTGGTTGCTTTTCTGGAGAAACACTTCCTCTGTTTTTGGGGGCTGGCTCACCATCGTTCCTGGTCAAGCATTTTACAAGTTATGGTAGCCCTAAAATGAGCCCCAGAGAAGGGGAGCATTTCTGCATGACTGGGGCCCTTTCAACTCTCAGGGGAAGATGATCTCATTAACTATCTCCAGCCCAGGAGACGTATCTGCTCTTGTCCAACTTCTTACCCTCATTTCTGCACCCACATTTTGGTGGGTCACTCACCCAGTCGCCGGCGCTCTTCCTGGTCCTGCAAAAGCAAGCGAGGAGCTGGTCCTTCAGGCATGGAGATGTGAAATTGGAGGAAAGCCTTTTCGTGCTCTGGGAAATCCACCTCAGATATGGCTGCACAAATAGAGAAGGCTGACTTGGGAGAAGGGATGGAGAGTTCCAGACATTCCTCTGTCTAGAACAGTGTTGTCCAAACTTGGCCACTTTAAGATGAGTGGACTTCAATGGCTGGCTGGGGAATTCTGGGAGTTGGCCTAGAAGCTCAGAAACCACATCTCAGAGAGAAATGGAGGCTCCGGAAAAGGAGGTGGAGGTTCCCCACCTTTCATTTAAACTTCAGGAGAGGGGAAAGACAAGGTAGCGCAGCTCTCCTAGCAAATTCAGGGCAAGCCATTCAAATCAAATGCTGTAAACTGGGAAGTAAAGTATGTAGATTATAAAACACGTGTCTAAAATGTGTTCGACTTGTTTGACCACTTTGGATGGATCAAATCCTGAACGTGATGGGAAGAGAGAGATCCAGCATCCCTGGGATCAAATCTCTCCTTATCCTCATTTGCCAGATAAAGCCTGGACTTATTTGCTGAGGATAATTTAACTAAGCTTATTTGCTTAGTTCAGGATCATGGCTGCCCTAAGCGACTGAGGCAGAGGAGGAACGGTTAAGGAAGCGATCCTGGTTTGCAGAGAGCTGTGGAGACCCGGGAAAGTGGAGGCCTGTTTTCTGACTCCTGCCTAGGTCTCCAGCCCCCGGGGAAGAGCTTCAGTGTGAAATCATGAAGAAAGGGCAGCCAGCCAGCCGGGCAGCCAGCCAGCCTCTGAATGGCATTGGGAGACTTGGAGGTCTCAGCACAGATGGGAGAAGGAGCCAGCCCCGTTTGGCACGAGGAAGTCTAACCTCAAAGAGATCAGCCTGAACTTGCAAAAGGAGTGAGCCAAGGTTATAAAATGCTATGAGAGCTGAAGACCCACATCGACCTTGGAGGAGAAAACCCAGAAACCGTCCTATGCCGGAGGTCAGAGCAGTACTGTTTCACCCAGAAGTGTGGAACACTTTTCCAGGCTAAAGACCACATCAAAAGTGGGTAGGATTGGGGTAAAAAAAATCAATCAATCAATCAATCAATCAATCAATCAATCAACCACATTTATATAGCCACACATCTCAAGGTAAAGTGACTCTAGCCAGCTTAGGATAAAAACTATCGTAAACAACTAAACGTTAAAAACTACAATCATCATCATTATTAACAACAAGATAGCGGAGAGTATTGATGTTCAGAACAAGGCAGCCATCTCATCAAATCACCATTTCCTTGAGATCCCCAGGCCTGCTGACATAGCCATGTTTTGAGGGGCTTCTGGAAAGATGTCAAGGATGGGGCCAATCTCACCTAGTAAAGTTTCCCTCAGGTGACTCTACAGACATCCATATTGTTGCCTTGGCAGGAGAGATTTGCCATCGCCTTATTCCAAGATTGCTTTTTCATTTTCCAATCTAGCCTAAGCCGTGGGATCTCCTAGTGGTCCTGGTGCTTAGCCAAGAGAACATCAGCCAGCTGCTCTCACCTGCTACAGCTTATTTAATTGTAATTGTAATATAGTTGCAATTTAATTAAAGGATGGTTATCAGCTGAATGTATTTTCCCCTTCTAGCAGATTTAAAAAATTATTCTTCCTGAAGGACTCTGGAAAGACACACTAGGCTTCAGAGGAGCAGCCTTGGCTGACTCACTCCAAGCTCCTTCCGAAATGAGTTCCTTCAGGGAGAGAGGGAGGGGTTTCACCATGTAAAATGGATACTCTACAGCAGTGTTGTCCAAACTTGGCCACTTTAAGATGAGTGGACTTCAATTCCCAGCATGGCTGGCTGGGGAATTCTGGGAGTTGAAGTCCACTCATCTTAAAGTGGCCAAGTTTGGACAACACTGCTCTATAGCTCAGATCTGGTTTCTCCCTATATAATGGTCCTCTGTCTCCTCCTCCTTAGACACTCCTAGTCCTTTGGGAAAACCAGAGAAACTCTTTGCAAATGTGAAAAACACTGGAGGTTACTCACATGGGCAGTCACAAAGTGCAACAGCAGCGTAATAGTGCGAGAGAGCCTTGAAGTGTTCAGCTTTGACGTGCACCATGGAGGTCCAGGAGAAAGGGACGTAGTCTTTGACGTGGGGTTGGGCCATGGTTTGGTGCACCAAAGAGTAGACCTCTTCCACCTGGGGAGGCAAAGATGGGGGAAGCTGGAGATGGGATGCTGCAGGCAACTGTCCAAGGAGGCAAGAAAGAGGACACTGTGCCGTGACGGCCACCCACAGCACAGCTGGCTTTGCTTCTGTAGCGTTCAGCATTGTGCATGGTTCCGTCCCGTGGGACAAAATGCCTCTGCCCCCTCTTGCACCCGTGCTTGGATACCCTACCCGGGCCGCTTCCTGGGCAAGTTGCAGGTAGGTGAGGAAGTCACTCTGAGCTCTGAGCAGGAGGACCTTCTCGAAGACACATTCCTGGACCTGGGCGATCATCAGCCGCACCAGCATGTTGAGGGAGGGGCTGCTCATGTCGAGACTGGGGGCATTGGAGAAATTCTCCTTCAGGTAGTTGAATGCGCCTGCAAAAGAAGTGAAACAGTGGGCCTGAGACCAAATAATCAAACAGCTCACATTTGCCCCAGCTGAGAGTGAACAGGGTTCAAGATGTAAAAGATCAGCAGGTGCAGATGGACATCCAGCTAGAAAGTGCCTCAATGACCTTGAAGGAAGGTCCCTCTTCCTATCCTCCCTCACTGTGTTCTTGCAGCTGCAAGGAAGCTGCACAGGAGTACCAGTATAAAATATGACTAAATTAAGCAATAGCAACTTCTGGGACTTTTACAGCTGGTTAGATGACTGATCTTCTCTGGCTGTGCAACCACACCTTGCTCAGGAGGGAGAGTTTGGTGGATATCATCTCTCTCCCACCTGCCTACATATTCTGCAAAAGGTAGGTATATTGGCCCCAACCACAGTCCCATCGCAACGGAGCCAACACTGCTGAACTCAATATGATCTAGTCTTGAGTAGCCAAGCAAAGGATTGCCGCCTAAGAGTTTTCAAGTCAGTGTGTGATTTGTTTTGTGGTTCAGCACTGTCAGTACTTAGAGGTCTAGCTCATAAACAAATCCCCGCAGCCAGAGACAGGCAGGTTTCTAGGAACAGGGTCTTGAATTGGCCAGTAAGAAACTTTAAGGCTGGATTTGCATCATGGATTAAACTAACTCTACTGAGTTGGGGTAATTTGGAGTTCAGTGGGGAGCCCAACCATAGTCTTAGCAGGTTGGGTGAACCAGGGGATTGCATTCAGCTATGGAAATGGTTTATTTGTTGGGCACAGGGAGCTAAAGGAAGATTAAGCTGCATTCTGTTAATCTGGACATAGGGTAACGTGTTGCACAAATCCAGCCTCAGCACAATCTACTTTCCCCCAATAAAAGGAAGTGCTGAAACAGAATCCTCTGAGTCAACATACCAGATGCCTTCTGGAATGCTTCAATGGCGCAATCCACACCTTGCAAAGTGGTACGGTCCTGGCGTGCTCCGATCTGAGTGTGCAAAGCCCCAATATTAAAAAGCACGCTTCCTTTCTCAAAAGCCAGGGCCCGCTGGTGAGAAGGTACTCCTGTGAGCGAATCATACCTAGAAAGAAGAGCAGAGCAGTAACACAAGGACGCTGGAGAAACGACAGTGGGGGGAACCTCACACTCGATATATTGTGACCAAATTATAACACACATTTCACTGCCTTGGATATATATTTAGTATGGATTCTTTGTTACCAAAACAATGGTTGGGGTAAGTTTGGATGTCCCCACCCAAGACAGTTTTAATGTTCTCTAAACAATATTGAAAAGGTCCACTGACCAATGGAAGAAAAGTCCCAGATTCTTATTGGGAGAGAAGAAACGGTTGTCAAGGAAGTAGAGTTGGCTGTAATATTCCATTAGCAGTTCAAGCCCTGCCTTATTCCGGCTAGGAGTTCGCATGGCCTGTTGGGGACGAAAGACAGGAGAAACCAAAGAGCCATGTACATCTCCCACGTCGCATTCCACAGAACATGCCCTGTCTTTGCACATTAAACCAGCAATGGGTCAAATCTGTGGCAGGCAGGCGGGAGTTCCAGATTCAACGTCCTGCTCAGATTACTGACAAACTAGAAGCATTTGCCCATAAATGTATGAAAATCTGGAAATGGCGGGTACGGCATCGTGATCAAAGTCGTTGAGTTTTGATTGCGACGTTGCACCTGCCATCTTGCAGACTTTGATCGCCCAGACACTCTTGCCCCAAAGTCTTCTTTCTCAAAGATCACTCACCTGCCGCAAGTCCACAAGGGTTTTCAGCTCTGCCTTGTAGGAGTCTTCATCTTCGTTGTAGTGCTCCCGAATCATGGCCTAGGGTAGTGCAGAAAATGAAAACACAGAGGCAGTTGGTCTGCTGTTAGCTCATGTTCCTTAAATTCCTACTTTCAATGCCACTCAAAATGCTCCAAAATCAAACTGGAGCAGTACTGGAAGTAGGTATTCGATTTAGGAACATTTCACCCTCAGATAAGAAGTATAAGGGCCTTTTGCTCAGTCCGCGCAGCATCCTAAGTTACCTGAGGGACTGTTTTTTCCCAGTTGTTTCTACCTGTCCAATTCAGCCCAGCAGGTTGGGCATATTATGGGTCCCGTCAGCCAAGGAATACCAGCTGGTGGGGACTAGGAGATCCGCCTTCTCTGCCGTAGCCCCTGCCCTCTGGAACATCCTCCCTCCTGAGATTAGGATGGCCCCGACCGTGATGGCCTTTCATAAGGCTGTGAAGACCTGGTTATATGCCTGGGCCTGGGGCCATGAATGTGTCAAGGGCCCCATTTGGCCCCTATTGACATCTATGGCAATAGCTTTACTTGGGGACCGTATTTATTTATTTTGTATTGTTTAAGTTATTTTATGTTTTTGCGATTGTACACCACCCAGAGTTGCTTGTTGAGATGGGTGGCTATAGAAAACCAACCAACCAACCAACCAACCAACCAACCAACCAACCAACCAACCAAC